TATCGCAGAAAATTCGCTCGGAAATCGGTGGAAATTGCAAAATCGCCCAGAAGCCACCCGCTCTGGTCAGGTTGTTTTCGGTTTTATTGTTCGATTGTCATTTTTTATGTTTCGCTTTTTCGATTTGGGATCTCTCGCAACATGACAGCCAGCGGTTGAATGTCAACTTGTTGCCTTGCCTCTGGTTTCAAACATCAGTTTGATGTTTATTAGTTTTTGCAGCTTCGAAATCTTCATGATTTGGAATATCTACTTATTTTGAAGAGCTCTCCAAGATCACAAGCTTCGACTCTATTGAACAGGTGCGTGTCCGATGTCCGAAGCTGCGAGCGTCTCAGGCTATGTGCCGTGCAGGATAGTCCAAAGTGAGATGGCAGCCCGGGTCAGTTACCTTTGTTTGTGTGTTTTCGGCTACGGCGCGTGTTGTAGTTAGGGCTTTGGGTTTCAGCTTCGTCGGCTGAACTTCGTCTGCACGGCTTGAATGCCCCACTGCGATTGTAAATGTCAGATCCAAACTCCCGAGGTGCGGCGAGTGCGGCATCGAGAAAGATGCAGGAGGCCAGTGTTGGGTCAACATGGTGAGCCACAAGCTGAACCAATGCATCCCCTCCCCCAGGCAGGCCGAACACAACCAAGCCTGGCTTGAGGCTATCAAGGGGCCGTAAACTGTCAATCTTGTTCCTTCGTAAGCCTTGCAGATTGCGCGGATCTTCAGGCAGACGAGCCCTTGCCTTGGTTCGGGGGTGGTTTCAGAACGGAAGGTTGCAGTTAGGGTTTCGCGGTATGTCAGGTGTCTACGATGGATCTGCGTGTTCTAAAGAGCACTCAGGCATCCGCTCTTCCTGCTGGACAACCATACACTGGGCTGTGCATCTGTGGGGTGCGCAAGACACGGGTTCGGCAGTTAGGCTGGGCTTTTCGGGAGCGGAGATCATGCTGTTTAGTTTTGGAATCTCGAGCTTTTCGGAGTTTCATCGAAGTCGGCCCGACGCCCTTTACCTGAAGTATCCTGTAAGACCAGCGGCTTGAAACTCTTCACGCTCTGCTAAACCCGGCTTGGTCCAAAATCCAAGTTCCCAAACCGACAAGTCGTTCCGTAGGTTCCACGATCTGTGGTTTACAGCTGTTGCGGTCAGTCGAGGATGTTGGTGTCGTTGTCCAGGGTAAAAGCTTAGGGTTGGAGGTTTCAGGCGTCATTTGCCTCTCCAGTGCAACACTTTTGTTGGCAGAAGTCAACCAGAAAACAAGATTTCAAGGCTAGGCAGAAAGCGCAAAGGTCTGTCATGGCTCTATCGTGTTGACACAGATGCTGCACTCAAGACCGCAAACTTGCAAGCCTTCAACTGCTGCCCTGCTCACGAAGCTCCGAACCGTAAGTCTTACAGTGGCACTACTGGCACTACTTATCCCTGCTTCTATCCACTCGCGAACCGAAGGTACGCATGCAACCACGATGAAGAAGTCACCCAGAAGTGCAAGTACACGTGTGGAAAGTGCGGCACCTGCTCTTTCTTGTCAGTGGTGCGTTTGGTGTACTTCTTGCCGCGACTTCTGGTTCCCTTCCATGACTCAGCCCTCAATCTCGGGCCGGGCTCTGTTTGGGGTCTGGGGCTTCGGCTTGTGGGTGGTGGAGGATACGGTGAGAGGAATGGGATGCCTGTCCCGAGGTGCACCACGACGACCACGACAGTCGCCAGGTCGGGAGCCCAGAAGAAGGATCCACCACACATCCGAAAAGCCCGAAGCTATGTACAGGAAACCCTAGACGAGACTCCCAAGCCTCTGAAGCCAAAGCTCCGAACTTCATATTCGCTTGCGTTGAAACAGAAACGCAGGGCGGTATTCTCCGTAGCCTCCTGGGCAGCTTGCTGCCGAAGCTCCGTGCCCGTGGTCAACGTTTGCAGCCCCTGCCCCTGCCCCGCCAAGGCCGGAGGTGGATCATCTCGCCAAGGCACGGTGTCAATGGGTTTGGAATTTTGGGATTGGGACTTGGGGCGTTAGCAAGCTAACCGTTAACAGGATAAAGCAGGCGGTACCATCCCGGCCATCGGCCGTTTCGTACCGCGGCTTATCAGAACACCAGTGCAAAAGTTATTCACATAGGGACGCTACGCCAGTATCCGGCTGGAAGACGAGACGGATTGTGACGGGCTTTGATCTTCAGGACCCGAACTGAAAGTCTTGAAGATCATCGAAATTGAGTATGGGCAGGGAGGGATGTCAAAATTGTTTCTTACACTAAGCGCCTTGTGTGAAATCTTGACCCCATGCGCTCCAGTTTCTAAGCACTGCGCTCGGGCTCGACAGGTCACCTCCTGCGGGCGTCGCCGCTCGATGGGCTACTGCTTCACCAGGTCCCATGCGGCAGCGGATCTGTGACTGGTGTGTGGATGCTTCGGTGAGTGCAAATGAATATGTCACACTTCCGCCGGTAGTGTTAAGATGGGACCGTTGACATCGCTTTGTAGGAGTATTTTGTGCGGTTCTTTTCTTGTTCTTTTCTTCTTATCCTCCTGACAGTTTCTGACAGTCAGTCGAGGCGCTCTTTCTTCTGTTCGGATTCACGCTCCCAAGCCCCAGCGTTTGTATTCAAAGGTCCTCCTTGAACGAAGGGAGGCGTGTCGAAACGTTACACGTGTCAGCGGTAGTACCCTACACCGAATCCTGTTCCATAATGTGAAAGGATTCAGAATGACGCTGGAATGTGTGGCAGAAGGGTTCCCACTGTGAGGGTAGAGGGGTTACTTGTGACCTTTGGGTTGGATTTCGTGGACGTCTCAACGGTTCGCTTGCGACATCGGATCCCCTTGCATTATGGCCTCCAGCTAAACGGGGGTTTTCTAGGCCCGACCCTTGCCCTGGGGCCCTGTGCTGCTCCATGCAGCTCAGTACCCCGTTCACACGCAAATCAGATCGGAAGACCTCGAGAGAGCTTATAGAAAAATCCAACAGAACTCGGAGGAACATGCATTGCATGACTCTTGCAGAATTATTCCGAGACATGCCGAAACTTAGGACAAGCCGCGGGCTTGGGGTTTAGACTTCAGGGCTTAGTGATGTGTAATTCAGGAACAGGTTCAATCTTCAGGGTCTCGAAGGGGTTGAGTTTTTTTTCATGTGCTGAGTATCCCGAAAACCTGCAACCTGAGCCGTTGTTGCAGCGGTTTCTTACCAAATATTCGTTCTTGTCTTAAACCTTCCAAACTATTCAATGCCCTTTCCTTCTGTGCAAGCAACCTTTTTGAGAAATACCTCTGACCTCATGAATCAGAATGGGATCGAGGGCTAAAGAAGGGCTCCTGGCGACTTACAGGTAGCGGGCCGATGACTTAGAAGGGTTCCGTTGCCTTGTAAATTCCATCCACAAAACGAGCCCAGCGGAGTGCAGGGGATTTTTCATCACCGCATGCGGCTTCCATGGAGATCGTAAGTGGAAGCTCCAGACATGGCCAGGAGTTCATGTCCTCTGGAGCGCAGATGCCTGCCCAACGTCGCAACAAAGTCACAACTGAATTGCAACACCTCGAACTGCAAAGCCCGAATCCTTTGAAACATGCAGCAGCAACCCAGCGGAGCCAGCGACCCCCAAGCTCCCCACACAAAGCGGCAACGGCTAGGAAGCCAAGGAAGCCTCTGCCAACTGAAACCCATCCCTGCGAGGCGGCGGCGACTCTTCTGAGCCGACTCGTGGGCAGACGGATAATGTGTGCAGTTTGGGGTCCGGGGGCCGGGGCCTGCCTGGGCTTAGTCTTGGCTTGCCTACGGACCTCAAATGCTTGGGCTCAGGGTTCGTGTTACCGGACAGCCCTGCTTTTATCTTCCTCGTCGGATCCGCTCTGAAGTTTTGATCTCATCCTCAGAGATAGATGCTTGCTGCGCTCGGCTAGAGCCGTCGATGTGCGCACTGTGCGCTCAGACCGTCCGTTCCTGCGACAAAAGGCAAAGATGGCTCTATAGACTCTAATGATTATAATCAAGACCGCGAGAATTCTTGAACCCTAAGCTGCCTGAGCTGTACTTACAGAGGCGCATGAACAGGTGTCCATCATTCCGTGCCAGGTGAATGCTGGAGGGCGATGCACTCTTCCTAAGCAGTATTGTTGCAACTGAGCCTCTTCGTGTTTTGCACATGCATCTGCTGTCGGAAGATCTGTAGCTGGCTCTGTAACAGAATTCTCTGACTTGTGATCGTGAGAAGCGCTGAAGACAGCGAGGATGATGGTGATGGCAACGAGGACAGCCATGCCGCTATTGCTGACGATGCCGATCCCGACGATGCCGATGATGCTGACGATGATGGGCACCGCGAGACTGAAGATCCCGAGGATGATGATGACGGTGATAATGTTGTTGATGCTGCTGCTGCCGCTGCTGCTGCTGCTGCTGATGATGATGATGATGATGAAGAGGGTGGTGATGCTGATGGAGGTGATGATGATCTGTCTGATGTTCTGGTTGTGATGTCGTTGATGATGATGATGATGATGGTGATGATCATGATTATGACGACTCCATGATGAAATGGTGGTGCTGGTGGAGTGGTAGATTACTCAATGCGACCAAACGCATGGGCAACCCTGTCCTCCCCGAAGAAGTTGCAGAACCGTTATAACTTTCTCGGGGCTCGAAGAGGGGACACTTCAGATTGGTAGAGTCGCTGCCTCCTCTCCCAGCGCCGGAGATGGGGAGCCCATCAGAGGCCCGTTCTTTGGGGCTTGCGGGGCTGAGAGTTTAGACTAGACAGAGAAAGAGGCACGAGGGGCAATAGGAATGAGATTGTTTTTGGGCGGGCTGGGCTGCAGGGTGGTGTCTGGCCACGGCGAAGTTAGAGTTGAGTTTCAGAGCGATTCGCTGATATTTCGACTGCACGGCAGACGTGCAGCTGCAGCATCGGGCCTTGGGGAATGTCTTGTCATCGCGCACCTGGGATGCGGGACTCCGATGGAAAAAGTCCAGCTTTGGCTTTTGCTGGGAGGAGTTCTGTTCGGGTTTGATGTCTTATGGCTTACGGTCGTGCTCCTCGCGCTGAGCGAGCGGAGGCGAAGAGCCTCTTTGACACCTTCAAGGCCGATGCTTGCCGGTTCTTGCACTTTTGGAGTCCTTGGACAGTTGCACCTGTCTGGTTTTGGGGCATAAGTGGACTTGGAGTTTTTGTGTCATGATTATGCACGAATGCTGTTGCGCAGTGTCAGCTGTCAATCGTTGGGCCATAGCGATCGTAGCCTGTCTCAGCTCTTTCACCCGATGAGCCTGGCGGTTGCATCTGCCAACGGCCAGCAGCCCTTGCCATTTTTGCTTGTGAATATTCGTGAAGACGGACATCATAAGCCAGCAAGTCAGGTGCGCGAGTTTGTCCTATGCTTTCGTGACATCCCGTTGTCGCTTCCCGTCCACCAAGTGTTGCGAATGCTTGAGGTGCAGCTCTTGGGAAGACTGCGCGACGGCAACAGATTAGAAAAGCTGCATGCAGAGGCGTCGCAGCTGGTTCTGGCCAGAGCAGGGATGACGATAGTGGATGATGTGCACGGAGAGATTCGGACGGTGCAGATCGCACGTGGACGAAATGCAGGAATTCAAGCATCCCAGTTCCTCACAACCGCACAGCTTGCTGCACAGGAGTGTGCGGGGAAGGGCAGCATTTCCAATCCTCTGACATGGTCCCCTGAGGAGCCGAGTTCGGTTGATTTTGCAGCACCATTTACCAATCCTGATGGAAAGCCACAGATCTACAATCTGGCATCTGGAGATGTGCACCTTTTCAAAGAATTCCTCGGGGCGCCTTTCAAGCAGTTGGATCCTGCAGCGGTCCAGAGGGGTGAAGTGCTTTATGGGTTGGTGGAGGTGCAGGCAAGGCTATGTGAGCAACTTTGGAGGGCATACAACGGTTTGCCGCGCAGCGGTGCCGATCTCAGGGCAGAGGCTCACACGCTCTTCGACCACCGTCATGCTGTGCTCGGCTGGGGACAGACGTCCGGTCGCTTGGCCAACCCGACCGACGATTTGGCCGTCCGAGCCCCGATTCATGGCGCACCAGAACGAATTCGGACCGATGGCATGCAGATTCTAGAGAACTTGGAGGATCTGGTAAGGCAAGTCTACGCCGATCAAACACAAGCATCAGGAGGGGAGCCGGCAGCCGAAAGCTTGCGATGGGCATTGCATGCTGCGCTGAAGATCAAGAAGCACCAGCTCCTGCTAGAGTGGCATCCTGACAAGAGACGGCAGCCTGAGGAAGCAAAGTTGATGACACAGCTGCTCATCCCTCTCTTCAATCGCGTCTTCAAAGTCTTGGGCCATGAAGAGACTTGAGCTTCTGAGTCCTAATCTGTCGCTGTCTACTGTCTGAATCAGCGCCTGAACAGATCTTTCCTGATTCAGCGGTACTCATGGGAGGTGACCGAAAGAGGATCTGTGCGAGCGGTGTCCATTGCCGGAATATCGGATCTTGAGCATGCTCGGACAGGCAGCAGATTGGTATGCAACGGTACGCATAGTTGTGGGAACCATACTAATCATGGTAGTCGGTCGCAGTTGTGGTCGCGGTCGTCGTGGTCGTGGTCGTGGCAGCAGTAGTAATCGTCGTCGTAGCGGCAGATTATTTTCGTTAGTTTTTTTTCAAGATTGGTCTCTCATACAAACAGCCTACAAGAGCGAAGAGTTATCCTGCCAAAATACCAAAGCCGATGCCGTGGTTCTAGGAGTCCATTCCATCCCGCACCGCTGCATGGGATCTTCAAGCTGAAGGTCCCAAACATCCCCAAACCCTCCCAAGACATCCCAAGCCTCCCAAGACAGCGGGAGGCGAAGTTCGAAGCCGAGCCCTGCGACCTCGCCAAGTGCGAGGCCTGCAGAATTGTGTTCGTGTGCATTTTCTGATGACGGCCTGAAACGAAACGGTTGTGGCACTTGTAAAGGCTTGTAGGGGGAGATTGCAAAAAAAGACACAACCAGGAGCTCCTGGGGCAGCTGAAGCTGCTCTTGTTCTCAGGCCGGGGCTTCGGTGCTGTCTAGGGCAAATCAGGCTCTTGAGGCATGGAGCTTGGGGACTAGGAGTGTTCCGGGTTTTTGCAGAAATTAGCTTTGTTTTCGGTTTGTCTTTGCTTTCGGGAGTTTGGCAGCTGCATGAATCTAGTTCGACGGTCCGGGCAACCGTGCCGCCGTGCTGCCCTCGACGATCCTTGAGAGCGCTCTCCGGAGTCTACAGCATGGAAGGCAAAAACCCGAAACAGCGACGATGTTTCTCTCCCAATTATCCTTTTTGTGCTGCTGCTCCTGCCTTCTCCTCCTCCTTCCTCCCGTTCTACTACTGCCGCGACTTTTTTCATGCGCACCTTATGTATACTGCAATGACAACGACGATGGCTGCAGAGCAACAGCAGCCACCGCCGCCATTGCCGCCACCACTGCTTGAAATCACCGCCACCGCTGTGCATGGGGATACGCCCTGAGCCGATGGAGGCTCAGCAGCAGTTCTTTCTGGCACCGGAGGTGGTGCCGACTTCGTCAAGGCGGCCCCGGCAGCCCCCAAATCCTGAAAGCCGGCAACTTGTAGCCATGTCCGGCCAGACTGCTTTTCCAAGACTTGGGGCGGAGGGCTGCAGCTCCGACCGTGACTCAATGTAAAGGGTCCAGGCGAGTTCGGGTTTCGCCGGCCGATCCGACGGCCTTCTGGTGACCGGCGTGATCATCGTGGTTTGTCTTGAATGCGATTCAGCGCATAGGTCAATGCCTGATGCGAGACATGACGTGTTTTTTTTCTAGCCGCTCCAGTCCAGGAGCAGCTCCTCGTAAGGGAAACCTTGGAGCTCGCATGCCCCGGCCCAAGAGGGCAGCGGGCAGGTTCCAAAAGGGCTGTGGGAGGGGTCTCTTGCTGGCCGTTCAGACTCGACGAGGATTTTTGGTGAGGGCGTACACGATGGTGCAGTCTGTGTTGGAGTTGCCTGCAAGATAATTTTGTTGCGCTGTAGCTCCTTTATTTCTCAGGCCAGTTTGAGAACCGAGGCTTTTTGTCAATTCGCCTGCGAGATCTTGCCGGTTTCGAGCGGCTCCTTGGGCCGCAAATCTGAGGCTACTGCGCAGAAGGAGGGGCAGAGCTTTTGGCGACACGGCACCTAGTCGAAGTCTCGAAGTGTTAACCGTGAACGGCACCGCCGTTGAAGACTCTCGTAGTCGTAGTCGTGGACTTGCTGCCGGCCCACAGTGATCTTTGAGGCTTCCACAAGAAGCTTTGTGTCGCATCGTGGAGGGCCGGTGCTAGCTTTGCCTGCCCAGCTCGCTGAGCGGCCCGCCCTGTCAAGGCATGTGTCGCAGCTGAAGATGTTCTATGACAGACAGCAGGACACACGCCACTCTCGTCTTGCAAGTTTGCGCAGAGTGCTGCAGTTGATGGGATGCTTGGACTACTTTTAGAGCCGGCGGGTTGCTCCACAAGGGAGGAACAGCGAAGGACCCTCTGAACTCTAAGACTCTAAGGGTCCTCGACGAGACCTAGAACATCCCAGTCTCCAACTCACCTAGCCAATAAGTTTCCTAAGAAGAGCGGTCGCGTGCGCTAGACTCGCAGGAGCTCCCGCCGTCTGAGCAGAAGTATCCAATTTTGGGCCTGTCCCTGCTGCCGCGAGCCCAGCTTGAAGTGTCCCGGCTTCTGGGGAAGAGGCTGATTTGGGGAGCCAACCGGAGAGTTGTGAAATTGAGCAAGCTGGGCCCTCTGGAGTTCGTGGAAGAAGTGTGGGTGAGGAGAGGAAGCGCTCAGCTTCGGTCACGGGTTGTTGCATGTGGGTCCAGGATCGAGGGAGGACATTCAGAGTCCAGGAAGAGGGGCCTAATTCGTAAAAGACTCCCAGGATTTTTTTTAAGGAAGCACTCACGCTGTCAGAAGCCTATCCTGTCAAGGCTCCAGGTCTCGGGAGCCGCCTTTTGCTCTGGCAAAGTCCCTTTGACATCGTTCGGGGACTGAAGAAATTGTCGAAATGGATCCCTTGCTCGCATGTGCAAGCATAGCAGTCCGGCAGCCAATTTGTGCCTTTGCATTGGCAATTTGTAAGTTTCAAGCCACTTGATCAAGACAGGAGACCTTGCCAACCAGTATTGCGCGTTTAGTAACTGATGTGCAGCCTTCGCGTTTGATCGGCTTCCTCTTCTTGTCATGGCTGTTTTTTCTGTAGTGGAAGTAAGAATCATAGCTCTACGACAGAGAAGAAACGTAGAAATAAAAGCCCCTCCTCCTCCTCCTCCTCCTGCTCATTCTGCTCCTCCTCCTCCTGCTCCTCCACGAGGCATCTTCTGGCCTCGGACCGCCTCGGCGAGTTCCACACCGAGCCCCGCGCTCAGCAGCCGCGAGGGGCGTGACGGTCAAAAACGGACGGTGCGCGGTTCGAGAAGTTCTCTTCTCCATGGTTCCTTTCGGGTTGCGGGCGACGAGTGGATACTTATCGGATACTTATCACTGCGAAGGCTTCGTTTGGGTCCATGTGCCAACTGGGACCTTCGTTGCGTTTGTCTGCGCTTTGGCAGGCTTGAAGGAAGTGCTTTTGGGTTTTTCCTGTCAATCTTGCATGCCATCCTACACTATACACTGGTCACAACACGTCGACAAATCGAAAGCTTGTTCTAAGCCGTTGGAGCTAGGTGGAAGTAGACGTGAACAGACCTCTCGAATCGAAAGTGGAAACTGACTGACGTCACGGCGCAACGGGACCGCGAGCATTCCTTGATGCATCTCAACGCCGAGGTTAGAGCTCATCCCGGTGGACGAGGCAGAAAACATGTATATCAAGCAACCCGCCGGGTGCCCCGGTTGGAGGGAGGTCCCCTTGCACAGGGGTTCAGGCAGAGGTTGGTGTTGGTTCGGGTTTCTGGGCTCGTGGCTTGAAGCCATTTTGGATTGCTCTTTAGCACTCGGGGCCAGCAGCATCCTGAACCCCAAGCCTGCCCAAGCAGAAAAGCGGGAAAAGAAGGTCCAGCTGGAGCGCTACTTGATGGAAGGGAACTATGCTAAGGCCGCGGAGTGCTTGTGCCGATAAAACAACTTCTCACTTCTCTGCTTTCAGGGCTTAGCCTGTTAGGCATTTTTGCTCAGGCCATGGCAGGCTCGTAGAAGCTGCAGATGTGGGCTCAAGAGTAGAGTAGAGTCGTAGAGGGTTTGCTTTCCGGGGATTATGCGATGAATCATGATGTAACATGTAGGTCCTTGGGAGTTTCGGGTTTCGTGGTTTCGGATTTGCAGATTTGCCAAAAACTGCGTTCCGGATTCCTGAGTGGGACAGCAATATCGCCGTCCTCACTGCCGCCTGCCGGCCTCCCTAAAAGAAATTGACTGCAGCGGAGGTCCCAGATCCAAAGCCTTCCGTAAAGCGTTGCAGTGAAAGATGCTAGATGTGGCAGGCGTCCAGCGCTATTTACAACATCGGCATTATGGCTTTGTATATCACAGCCTCCATGGGCTCACTTGTCGTGATTTTCTTTGTTTGGGTAGTTTCTCGAAGCCCTGCAGTTCTGGGCACTTTGGGTCCAGCCGCTAGGTGCTGGAAGCACAGAAGGACGTGCCGAAGATGTGCCCTGGGTGTTCTTTCAGGATTTGAGAGAGCCCTTTAGGGCCAAGGTTGTCAGAGTTTTGGGTTTCAGATTGCAGAGGCTGCAGTTGACTATGCTAAAGGCTTGCGGCTTACGGTTGGCATGTAAAGTTTGGACTCAATCAATCCCTTCTGTGCAAACAGACTCTTTGAAAGCCAAAAAGCACCTCACGAAAAATATGACAAGACCTTCTATACCCTCACAAAGCCCCACACACCCCTTACAAAGCCTTTTGAAAATCCTAAACCCTAAGCCAACCTTGAACCTTCAACCTCAAAAAAAGTCCTGATGTTCGGGGGGCCTCGGGACAGAGCCCCGGCTTCACATGCGGGAGCTCGCGCAGCACCTGCGGCGTTTCAGAGTTTAGGGTTTAGGATGTGGAGTTTCGGTTGGTGTAGAGTTTGGGGTTTAGGGTTTAGGGTTTAGATTTGGAGGATGCGACATTTCCACCCACCCTCGCCCAACCGTGAGGTGTGCTTCAATTGCCAGCACGACTGCAGTCTTGTATTGAGCTGCTGAGGTACTATGCCTTTTTCATGGAGAGGCTGATTGACACAGTCCGGCAAAAGGCGTGTCCCCATCCTACTTGCCTTGAGACTTCAAGCTTTTTGAGTTCGCTTGAGCCTTTGCGCTTCAAAGGAAGTAAGCTTCCTTCGGCCTGGCCCCGCCTTTGACAGGTGGGTGCGTCTCTGGAGCGTTCCTACGAGACTCTCCCTGCTCAGCAGGCCGGGATCGGGGTTAGGGTCTTGGCGGGTCGCGGCTGACGAAGGAGCAGGATTATGAGCTGAGGGATCCTAGAACTACTCCCATAACGCAGGACAAAGCCTCGTACCTTAACTCCCTACTGTACGTCCAACATCCAACTAATGCCCGACACCCGGACCCTGCGCTCCGACTCCGTGAGCCCAGAGCTCTGCACCACAAGTGGGGGTCCGTGCCTACGAGTACTCTCGTAGATGGGAAGGCTCCCTGCTGTCGAGAGGAGAGGGGAGAAATTGGCCTTACCATTTCCAATCCCACAAGCACCAAATCTCAAAAAACTCTGCCCGAGAAGCCCTTTGCTTGAAATACGAAGTCCGCAAAGACACTGAAACCACTAAAACCATAGAGCCCCAAGCTTCCGGAGGCGGCGCAGATGCTCATCCTAGCAGATGTGGGTTCCCCAATCCACGCTCGGGAACGCGAGGTTTTGGGTGAGGGAGTTGAGATTTTGGATTGAGGGTTTCGGATGTAGGTGTCTGACGTTGTGTGTCTCGTGCAGGATTTCTTATAGAGTTTCGCACTGAGGGTTTAGAAGTTACAAGTTACAAGCTATGCAAAGCTCAGGACTTCAGATTCCCAGTGAGGCATGTTTGAATCGGAGAAGGTATTGCTCGCTCGCTCTCGCTCGCTCCGCCTTGTCTTCTGTCTGTGTGGCTCTGTCTCTCTTTCTCGCTCTCGCTCTCGCTCTCGCTCTCGCTCTCGCTCTCGCTCTCGCTCTCGCTCTCGCTCTCGCTCTCGCTCTCGCTCTCCCTCTCCCTCTCCCTCTCCCTCTCCCTTCTCTCTCTCTCTCTCTCTCTCTCTCTCTGTTTCTGTCTCTCGCTCTAACTCGCTCTAACTCGCTCTCTCTCGGTCACAGTCTCGCCGTCTCCTGATATGCTGATGTAGATTTGTGGATCGAGTTTTGTTTGCAATGTCTTTGGTAGCATTGCTCCCTGCGCTGATTAACGGCCGCGTCTTGTCCATGAAGGCATGGCCATCCAGCAGTGCCAGATCAGAGCCCGGTATCAATGAAGCGGCTCGTGCGTAAAGCATGCAGGCGCCATCCTACCTGGCAACACCTGAGCGAACAAAGCGATTCAACAGCAAGAACCAACACTCAGTTCGTGATCGTCATCATCATGTCATCATGGCAATCACCATCACCATGACGATGACCATAACCATGACCATGACCCCAGTCCTCGCCACCCACGTCACACGCCACCGCCATGGCTTGCACAACTACTGCAGCACAGAAGCAGCAGCAGCAGCACCACCACCGCCATCACCACCACCACCACAACCGGCAACGACCACCACTGGCAGCACCACCGTCAGCATTGCCACCACACACGATTAACGCTGTCACGTGCAAAAGCGACACGACCATTATCTGTCTCACCACAACTATCAACAGCAGCAGCTGCTGCTGCGGTTGCGGTGGCGGTGGCGGTGGTTGTGGTTGTTGTTATTCTTGTTATTGTTATTGTTCTTGTTCTTCTTCTTCCTCTTATTATTGCTGCTGCTGCTGCTGCTGCTGGTGGTGCTGATGGTGGTGGTGGTGGTGCTG